ATACCAATAATACTAATACTAATACTAATACTAATACTAATACTAATACTAATACTAATACTAATACTAATACTAATACTAATACTAATACTAATACTAATACTAATACTAATACTAATACTAATACTAATACTAATACTAATATTAATACTGATACTAATACTAATACTAATACTAATACTAATACGCCAATTATAATATGAATACCAATATTAATACTAATACTCCAATACTAATATGATTACTAATACTAATACTAATATTAATAGGCCAATTCTAATACAAATATTTAATGCTAATAATAATACACCAATACTAATACAAATACTAATAGTAATAGTAATACTAATACTATTACCAATTATAATACTAATATTAATACTCATACTGATACTAATACTAATACTAATATTAATGTCAATACTAATACTATTACCAATTATAATACTAATATTAATACTAATATTGATACTAATACTAATATTAATAAGTCAATACGAATACGAATGATTTATTCCTTTATAATATGATAATGCATTAATAAAATAAAATTAATGTAAAATTATAAAATAATATTATTATATTGTTTAATTTATTTTTTTAATATTATTATAAAAGAAAACTAAATTTGAAAATATATTATTATAAAAATTTGAGTGTTCTAAATTTATTTAAAACGTGAGATTTAAAATATTTTAAATATTATTTAAAAAAGTACTAAATTCAAAAATATATAGGTATAATAATAAAAAAAAAAAAGAGTATTCATACTAAATTCAAAAAATATATTTCAGATAATTAAACTATAAAAAATATAATATTTTCAAATTTATAGAATATTGAATGCATGAAATATAATATATATGTGGTAATTATTTAGTGATTATGCAAATGTGAAATAGGAAAGAACTTAAAAACATACCTAAATAAAAATGCCAACTAATCAATTGATGAATCCACATCATCAATTGAACTCCAACTAAGCAATTTGGAGATATGACATCATCATTTGCCACATGTCAATCATTGAGGGCATAGATCCTCTTTTTATATTATATATATAGATAAAGATTATTTCTAGTTTTTATTTATTTTTTAAGTTTCTTTTATAGTTATACCATATATACCTTTAATTTTTTTTTGCTCTAAGTTCTTCCTAATTTCCCTCCCTATTTATCTCATTATCTGTTATTACCTCGAGTTACAACCCTAAAAAATAGTAACCAATCATTCTACAATCTACACGCTTTCTCACAGTCTAAAAAATATAATCAATGGCGTTATTTCTTTTCACGTATATTTTATTATTATTATTATTATTATTATTATTATTATTATTATTATTATTATTATTATTATTATTATTATTATTATTATTATTATTATTATTATTATTATTAATATACATATATTGCTTCACTAATGGGTGGAGTAATGACGTCAGTCATATATCCGGGTGATTGGCAATTAATCCGTACAATCATATATGTATATTGATAGGTCTTGTTGATGCACATTAATATATATGTATATTATTAATTATAAATAATGTTTCTCGAGAATATTAATTGCATATTGTATACGACAATTCACATTGAAGTTATAGTAAATAATTGATAATACAGTTGGAACAATCTATAAACACAAAACAAATATATATAGATGTATCAAAAATTAATAAAAATATATATTATCGCACCAAAATCAAAATATTTATATTTAGAATACTCCATAAAGATATGAATACATAGAAAATAAAATATTAGAATAACTAACAAACATAATTGCAAAATGTAATAAACTATTCTATGTTCGTAACTTTTATTATATTTCTTATGGGGTCGAACGATAACGAATATGTATTGCCAATAATAAAATGATTTGATGTACAAAACGAACTCCAACCAATTGTGAGGTATATCCCGCGTGATTTATTTTTTGCTTCATACAAACTAATTTTATTCAACGAACCCTCTTCGTATTCAACATGGATATATTTCTTGGCAACCAATCCAGCAGTCTCGGTGAAAGTTTTGCGCAGATACTACAACGTAATTAAAATGAAAATTGTTAATAAAAGTACAATCACATTAAAACGCATCTTTTGAATAAGAAAAATATATATAATAAATAACGTACCAGTTTTTGCATATCATAACGTGTAAATAT